GGGCGTTTACAGTCAGCGTCCAGGCTCAGCCAGTGATAAAGTCCTCCAGTTCACCGTGCTGTCGTAGGAGCTTGCTGACGTCTTCGTGTGACCACAGCTTCCACATCACAGGGAGTTTCACAGCCTGTCTGACAGCGAATAAAACAACTGCATACAGTCAAATATGAGATATTAGGTTCAGGGTTCAGATGCTAACCCTTTGACCAGATTCTTCTTAAGTAAGAACATTTAAAAGTCCATAGAAAGCATTTAAATTCCACTAAGAATAATCAAGCATCTTCATCTTACATTAAAGCAGCCCATTAAGTCTCCCTTCAATCCAGCTGTACATTTTTAAAATTGATAAAATTAAGCAAAATATATGTTAAACCATCAATTCGTTATGATTTACGTGATGAGAGAAACAGCTCTTTTAATTCCTAGTCTTTAAAAGCTTCATATATTTACTGGTCCAACCATGACAGGGCTACACTTTGGACAGAAAATCTCTTTAAAAAAAATCATTTTCATGTTCTTTCTCTCTGAGATAAGGTTGCATAGGGTTAAAGTTCTAACTATGTATTTAATCCAAGAACTGTTTGAAAAGCTTCTACAAAAAGATCTGATTTATTGACCCTTTTATAGAACAACTATAATGAAGCAGAAAAAAAAAACTCCTGAACATGTGAGGAGTCACAACTTTGTTCAATCTTTCATACATGATATAATATACCTTTGACAAATAACAGTAATCTGCATATGTGCAAAGATCTTAAATTAAAAATATTCAATAAAAAAAAACAATGACAGAATAAAAAAAATGCATTGTTTTACTACCTAAGAAAACGGGTGATCATTTAAAGATAAAAAACTGCTCCCAACCCAAAGTTTATTGACTCAGGTCTGAAGGTTTGCTTTAAACACACATCCAGCTACTTCATTTCTCCTCTTCTCTCCTAATATTTGCTCTTATTTGTTGTTTTGCAGACTAATCTTTAAAGAAGTCTTCACGAAAATAACACTTTTAGACTGTTTTCAGGGATTTAGTTGCCAGAACCGCAGCTTCATTCATTTAAATTGATTTCATTTTATAAGGAGATATATCTGCCTTCTGGTAAACCAAGAAGTCAAAAATATCAAGGATGTTTGGCTGAAATACACAAAAACATGAAGACGCATACCTACTTTAAAATGTTCCACAATAGTTTACTACTACTACTTATTAAGATCCCAATCATTTCTCACTATTAATGGAATTACTTTAGGAGAAAAAAATCAATATATCATCTGCATAAACAGTAATACTTTTATCTGTAATGATAAGATCAAATGTAAGACCTTATGCAGACCTTTAGCTTTTCTCTTTCTTAAAATGTTCAGATTCTCTCTAAAGGTAATCTTCAAACGATGACGGACTATTGAAAATGTTTTATATGACAGATTATCACAGTAAAGTACAGGAAGGAGGCGTCTGAACTGTTTGAGATAAAAAGAGCCCTTCAGAAAAGAAGAGATACTCTCCCTGAGTGTCCCTGATATAGTTTTTTTGTTCTTTATATGCGTAACTAAATGAAAGGGACTCTTGAGCGTTGTCACTTTTCCTTTCTTTATCTGCTTAGTTCCGAGGTGCCCAAACATATCAAAGGACGGGAAAATGACGCAAGAAAGTTAAACTGAATCACAGATGACGAAAACAGCAAAAATAAGAACGGAGATAAAAAGAGGTTGAAATTAGACAAAATAAATATTATTTCGAAGGAAATTACTTTTATGTCTAACAAAAAAAATGATTCCTCAGCTTTAGTTTGAGTCCCCAAGATATCAAATACCCCCCAATAAAAACAGTCTGTTTCTAATCCACAGCGTTAAGCATTCAGCTAGTGATGTTCTGACACAAACGCACGCATGTTGCAAACACCCAGTCTAAAACACACTCGGAGGGAGAGAACAAACATTAGCACACAAAACACACCATGAACTCAGGATACAAACACGAGCCCAAGGCAACAAACATGAGGAGAGAGCATGCAGATGAACATGAACACAACAAACATGCCAAACCCTTGGATACATACTTAGTGTAATGAAGTTAAACAGCAAACATGCACACATGCAAACACAATATACAATCCAGATAAAAGCTTTATCCAAAAACAACAAACCGAGGGGAGTTTAGTCATATCTGCTAATCCCACAAATCTTCCTCTTCGGGCATTCTTCTGATATCTCCATTAATGTGACAATGGCAAAACGTCCCATGGCGTATTCTAATACGAGTTTAATCGCTGAAATAATAAGACAGTGTCCGCTTCTGCTCTGTAAACTTGCATGTTCATAGAAGTTATACTATTCTTCACATCAGATGCAAGTAGGAGGTCGGATTGAAGCTTTTAGCTTTAATTATATGCTAAGAAAAAAAAATGTCAATCTTTGATTAAAAAAAGTCCGTTCATTGTCTTCCCTTTTGTATTTTTTTTGTTCTGACCCCTTGAGCTACAACAAAAACCCCTTAAAGAGCCACATTTAAACAACTGGACCGGGCTTTTTCGAGTGAAAACAAACCCACATGCTCTGCTGAGGGGAATCACACAGACAACTAATAAACTACTTGTTGAATTTTCTGTCATTCAGCTGATGCTCTCACAATGAGCTCAGCAGCGTTCGGCATCTTTACAGGAACACAAAATGAGGTTTTGAGGGGTAGTTTTTCCCTTTGTTTAGTATGTTGCTGGTAAATGAAGGCAAAAAAAAAAAAATTAGAGATTAATGTCAGAGAAAAATAATTTAGTCTGTAGAGCATCAAACCCCTTCAGAGAAAACAAAAGTCTTGAAAAATTGTTTGTTACCGTTAGTTAATCTCATATCATTGATAAAAAATTGGGTGCTTGATATATTTTTGAGATACATTCATTAATAATTTGAAAATACATCATTTTAAAAACATTTTTACTCCAACACTAAGCACACAAAGTGAAACTTTGAAGAGACTTTTTAAATCATGTGAACAACTGCTGCAACTTGACCAAAAGAAAGCCACGCTAACCTCAGACAAAGGGACCATTCAACCCAATTTCATCCTACAGAATGATTTTAGCTGAGGTTCTTGAAGCTATTTTAAGACAAAAACTTTAATATTTAACTTTAAAACACTAAAACAAGAAGCAAACTGCAAGAAGCAATGCCACCAAGGAAGAAAATAGACTAACACAGACAGAAAGAGATGTAACATGTCGCCTTGTCTCACGATAACACCGCAACACAAAAAAACAACAACAAAAAACCCAGTAATTTCCCTGTCGGTCTCCCAGACCTGTAGTTTCTGATCCATCTCCTTCATCCATAACCATCAGAGCCTTCCAACCAACCCCCAACCAAATCATCGCCACATCACCCGCTACGACACTATTCTCACTCCCCTTTCAAGTGGCAGGTAGAGGGGCCCCGAAACGCCGCTGCTGCTTCACAGGCAGCGGGCTAATTATAAGGGAGGCAGCAACAAGTGAGCTTTGTGTTGAGCCTCGAAGACACACACATGAGCAAAGAAAGTGCTCTTTATCTTCCCCTCTACCTCTTCAATCTCTCCCTTAAATGAAACAAACTTTACAAACAAACACATAGTAGGCAGAAGCCGTCACGTTTGTCGAACATGTCGCCGGATATGCAGCTTAATGCACAAAAGCTACACAAAAGATGTTTAAAGTAGGCTTATTTGTAGTGCATTTAGGTCAGAGTCCTGGCATGTTGCCTTATCAGCAGAAACCTTTGAAGTAGATCCCTATTTACATTTACATTAAAGTGCCTAGAGAAATGTATTAATATCTTAAATAAAAAACTGTATACTATCAGAATTATGCTTTAAAATAAATAAAAAACATAAAGTTTCAACAAAACATGGATGAAAAAAGACATTACGGATGTGCTACATAGAGGAGGATCTAATACACCTATCTTAGTGTAAATCTCTCTTCTTCACAATAATCACATTTGTAAACAGCCATCATATGGATGCCCAAGAGGAATTTCTTGTTGAATCTTTTCTGTGTTTTCAAACAGGGGATGACCATCCCTGCATATCTGAAAGCCTTTAACAAGTCTTTCTGATGTTTGCCTCCAGCGAAGGGAACGCTCAGCTGTTATTAAGGCCGCGGCAAACCGAGCTTTCATTCACGCTCGGTGTAAAGAGATGGAAGAAAAAACATCATGTGGAACGGTCAAAGGCAGCAGTACCAATCATTTGCCAAACGTAAGCAGAGGACCCCCCTCCTTCTCCTTAGAAAAAGACAAAAAAAAGTCATTTCTTAGGGTTTTGCCTCACTGCGACACCTAGATGGGTGTTTTTTTTTTTTGTTTCAAGAGGCACAGCACCAGTCAGAGCACATATAAGGTTTTTGATTGATTCACAGTGAGGCGACGGTCATCATAGCAGGCCTCCTCTCCTCCAACATAAACCTTTGCTACACTAAAACAGGGTTATGCATCGATCTAACATAAATGCAGTACTTTTAAAACTGTTTTCATTATGTAATTAAAACAAATATAACTTTGTAGACAAGATAGGCTCTTTTAATAGAAAAAAAATACATAAAATGAAGTTTAATGTTTAAAAAGATACTTTTACACAACAGTCTCCATTGAAAAGTATTCGTAAAAAAACAACTTTTTCTGCCTTTCTTTTCACTATTTTATGCTGTTTGTTTTAAAATACAAAGATGTTGCTGCCTGAAAAAAGAAAAGGCATCAACTAAGCAAAAATGTACACATGGCTGCCCTTTTTTTTTTCTTTTAGTTTTACCATTTATGTGATTTTATTCTAATATTCCAGAGGGCCCTGGACCAAATCCTGTGGATTTGAAGCAACAGCAAAAATAAAAACGAAGCAACAACTGGCACTGCAACATCAGTTTATAGATAAGGAAATCACAGAGGTAAGGTTGGGCTCAGATTTAAAAAAAGCACAAAAATCAGTTAGCAGCAGGCGGATGGATGAGTTAACACAAGCAAAAAAAAAAAAGAGAACTTACGGATGGTGAAACTGAGCTGTTGGGGAGGTAAGGGTCTGGCAGCATCAGGAACGGATACCCTGGATACGCCGGCGACTTGTACATGCCTCCATCTTGTTGTTTTGACACTGAGATTGAATACATAAATAACAAAAAAACAGTCACGGTTTACAAAAAAAACAGTTTCAAATCAAGCCTTTATCATCTCTTTTAACTATATGCTCTGAAGATGTAGGGGCAAATTCTAAAAGCAGAGTCTGAGAGTTGATGAAATTGAGGCTAAATCTGACACTTACTCACATTCACACAGCTGAAAAGCTTTAACAATACCAAAACGCAGACATCCAAAATAAACGTGCATGCAGAACAGGTAAACTATTACCGAGTGGTTGCATCATGTCACATCCTTGCACGAGCACAGACTTGATATATTTGTAATACTCTGAAAAACACTGCTCAAGCCTTCACCTACAGCCCAGAGGCGTGAACTTAAGGAGAAGTGTTTGTGTGAGTTCACTTCCACCACCACCCTCATTAAGTGTGTGTGTGTGTGTGTGTGTGTGTGTGTGTGTGTGTGTGTGTGTGTGTGTGTGTGTGTGTGTGTGTGTGTGTGTTTGTGTGTGTGTGTGTGTGTGTGTGTGTGTGGAGGGGGGCTTTCTTTCTGCAGGTTAGGTTATACACCTACTGAGACTGAAACTCAAACTTAGACAAAGCAGTTGGTCGCATTTGTCTCTGCTTAGCATATTTTTTTTGCCAAGATTTAAGTGAAATAACGCAGATCTGCTGATGTTTATTGACTGATTTCTGCAGCTTTCAGTTTGTCTCAAAGATCCACTTGAAACCACAAAATTCAGCTTTGATGAAGGCTTTTTTTCTCAAAAGACCCCCAATGTGACGACATTGCTGGTATTAGTAAGGAGCAAAATGAGAGAAATGACTGAAGGCAGCTTATTATTAAATCTGCCAAGTAAAACTTTGCTTTCAAAATATGTTAGAGGGAAGTTATTCTGTTCATTTTTGGATGGAGGGCAAGAAAAAAAATGTCTACTGTTTCACGAAAGTGAAGATAAAGCTATAATTTTCTTTAAAATTACATTTGAAAGCACAAAAAAAAAGCATAGGCACATCTTACTGTAATAAAAAAAAAAAAGAAACACTCCAATGGAGGATAAAGTTTGTATTAGGCCATTATTTAATAACTAACAGGAAGGCGTCAACTCAACAAAAAAAGTTAGGGATCGCAGAGCTGGAGCTGACAGCGTATGTCATATAGCCTGTATAGAATGGTCTGCATTATTTCAAAAAGCATTTTATTCAAGGAGCCTCACAGGGTTTGTTCTGTCACTGGGAGTCAGACAGTTTTAGGAAAGACCTCACACGCTGACAGCGTTTAAGCTGCAGGTCAAAAACCAGCCACTATATAATTCTCTGCACTTCATACAAACTCCTAAGTGCTGAGCAGCACGTTCCTTACTATAAACTAGTTATTACACATTTTATATGCAAGGAAGCCATGTTGGATTTTCCTAATCAGAATACCTTGAAATCACGTGGGAGTCTACATCATTTCTGACCCCTCTCGATAAAATGCCTTCCTGTCACCTTTTTGTCGTTTTTATTTAAAAGTATCTCACGATGGAAACATTTAGCATGTTTATTGCACCTTTCCACCATGCAACCCTGAAACTTTACACCCCAAATCTTAATTACCCTGAACCCTCAACTTCCCCTGGGGCTGTTTGTCATGTGCAGTTCGCATGCAGCTACTGTTTATGGAAAATACGTCTGCTGATGCTAACGTGTGCTTACACACAGGGAGGGAAGTTACTCTTTTTTTTTGTGAAGTAGCAACGAAAAAAAAGACCTGGGTAAAATTTAAAAAGCTTGAACCACTCTTTTTTTAATATAATAAAAAGTAAAGCAGTATGATGCATTTCATTGCAAAGACATAGCTGTTAGGCAGAATATTAAGAATATTCTGAATGGAAACTGGAATACAGGTTTTAGTTTCCTTAAGGTTTTCCATTTTGTATATTCATAGAAGCTAAATAAGGGGGGAAAAGGGGGTCCTTGTTAGACGTAGTAGTTTTAAATCCCACTTATAATTAAGAAAATGCACCTTTTTATCAAAGACATGTCCCTGAGCTTTATCTGACGTTAGACAAAATAAAAAGGTCCTTTTTAAGAACCTGCTGCTTATAGATGTATTCAGTGATCAAAGACAGATAGACTTCCTTATTTTGTTTATTGATTAGTACAAAATCAAATGTTTTCATTATTTGGCCTGCAAATCTCTACTCAGAAACACTAAAGATAAAAGATTTAAACAAATTTTAAACCCTGGTTGGTTTATTTCAGCATTTCTTGTAGGACTTCATTGATATGTTGCATTGAATGCTTTGTGAGAAAGGTAAAATGCTGACTTATAAATAGCTGGAAAGAAACTCTAATAGGGTGATGCAGGGGTTAGGATGTGATGTTTTGGAGAATTATTCATACAATGCATTGCTTTAAAAAATCTTGAATAAATAGATTTTAATAAGAAAATAAAATGCAAATAATAAACAGATTATCTGCTTAAACAGGTGATGTAAACATAACTTGAGACATGATGGACAGCTTTAGAAAGTCTTTGAAGTTGGGTCTCCTTTGACCAAAATCCCTTTTCTTTAAGAGCTGTAACTTTTCTATCAAAGCGTGTTAGACAGAGGAACCCAGGGGCCCCTCAGGCCGGCTGAGAGGAAAGGTTTTCATCTTACCTCCTTCGAGATGCTCTCGGTGTTTATCCTGGAAGACCCTGTGCTCGCCCTGCTGTCCCCGTCTGACCGCCTGGGAACAACAAAACACGGACTCAGGTGAGATTTATTTACTCACAAAAAAAAAAAGCGGCAACCTGTCTCCTATCTTCACGAGGAATAACTTTATAGCGAGTTTATTACACTTTTTTTTACACGTGTTTTGATGCGGCATCCCGCTTGGGAACTTTAAACCCAGAAGGGGAACATTTTTTTTTTTGTTCATCCAGATGTTGTCAGGTATAAAACAAGCTTCCACGCAAATGTTTGCCTCTATTTTGCAACAAACGCACAGAGAGAGACAAACATGCAAACAAACGGTCTCTGTGCCACCTACCGCCGTGTTCGGACTTTGATTTATTTCCGACTCGTTCACCAGAGAGGACTTGAGGTCGGCCAGGTCCCTCTCTGTGAAGGCGTTCTCCTGGATTTTCTCCTCCTGTTCTCCTTCGTCTTTGAACGCTATCATCTCATCATTCGCTCCCAGGTCGTCCCCTCCGCCGCCGCTGAGCTGAGGCATGACTACTTCCCTCCCCTAGACTTGTTTTTTCCACCTCTCTTATAAAGTTGTTAAAAAAACAAACAAACAAAAATAAAAATAAAAGTATAAATAAATAAAAGAATAAAGTGACTTTTTCAGGTAGATATCCTCAGTTTGGTGGCCTCCAAGAAGAAAAAAGTAGAGAAAGCCCCAGCACCTAGAGAGAAAAAGTTGAGATGTGGCGTTTCCCCCGGCTGGTTGCTTGGTAGGAGAATAATGTTTCACTACAACAGCAAACAGCTCATTTGAGTCCAAGACAAGGCGAGGAGTCCCGACTTCAAAGGGCGCCGACCGCTTGATTGACAGGTCCGATGACTTGTTGGGGGGTTGTACGATTGTTTCAGCAGAGGGCTGAGCCTCTTAAAGAGACATCACCTCCCTCTGCTGCGCTCAACAGGCATTATTCATGACTTCCAGGGCCGGCTTCGATATATTCACGGCCCGCGGGTTGCTACAGACACAAATGCTGTTTATAATGTAAACAGACAGACTATGTAATTAGACAGGAAGCACATTTCTTTGCAAATGACAACAGACGTTTTGCTTAGCCTACTTAAATAACAAACTTGCATAATGATGGCTTAGAAATAGTAGAAATGCACTGAATAAAAGACACATTTTAAGAATTATGCTTTTTTTAAATGTATTAATGGAATTATTAAATTGTATAACAATTTGAATAATAAAAACTTTAAAAGAAGTTGACAGATTTTCTTACAGGATTTTTCTGTTTTTACCCTCCAATCCCTCTCCCCGCTGAAACTACTCTTTCCCACATCATGATGTTGTTTAACACCATGTTACACTGTGAGAGACAGTCTTAGGATGATATAACATTTTCATCCATGCATAAACCTTTATATGTAGGCCAAAAGGCAACATTTTGCAGTTTTTTTTTTTTTTTCAATTTTTCAGCTTTTTTCCCCCCATCTCTTTTTTTAAAGCCATGCCTGCATTTACAACAAGATTGTGGATTTATTCAGCTCCTCCACAGTTAACTCTTTTTTTTTTTTTTGTGCTGCTTCTCTAACCAATGCTCTGTCTATCCCTGTTATTTGTGAGAGTGAGAAACAATGCAGAGGCAGGGTGCCCCCATTATACAATACATATCAGAACAACAGAAGTTAGATATTTTCAACAAATTATAATTTTTATGAAATTCTTTTATTTTAAAACTTAAAGCAATTCAAAGTTTAAATGTATGCTCTAATCTCAAGCTTTTTTGTTTGTTTGTTTGTTTATTTTTTACATAAATGACCCCTAACTACTATTTTAGAGATGTTTAAACTCTTTGTTTACTTAATCCTTTATATTTTAAATAATAAAGTTTTGTCAAAAAAAAAATATTACAACAGAAGTTTTGGAAGAAACCTGAAAGCTACTGTCCTTACACTTCATTCCTGAACTTAAAGGGACCTCCCATTAATCCCCTTCCCTTTGATGGCTATCTCTAATCCTAACATCAGAACCAGAATCAAGTTTATTGCCAGGTAGGTTTGCACCTACAGGGAATTTAAATTGATGTTGATGGTGCAGGCAAATTAGATATATATACATAACCTATAGCTAGATACAATACAAAAATATACAATATACTATATATGGTATATACACTAGCTATATACTGTATACACAGTAGACTGTGTCTTAATATAACGCATGAGGTCCAGAGGTGCTACATTGGTGAGGTCCTGAATAGGGGGGAGAGAGAGGAAGTGTCAGTGTCACGGGGGTCTCTGGGCCTTGTTGATAAGGCTGGTAGCGCATGGAAAGAAACTGTTGTTGTGGCGTGAGGTTTTGGTCCTGATGGACCGCAGCCTCCTGCCAGAGGGAAGTGTCTAAAATAGTTTGTGGCTGGGGTGCGAGGGATCAGCCACAATCTTCCTTGCACGCCTCAGAGTCCTGGAGGCGTACAGATCCTGGAGAGATGGCAGACTGCAGTCAATCACCTTCTCTGCAGACCGAATGACACACTGGAATCTGTCCTTGTCCTTGACGGTGGTGCAAGCGTACCAAATGGTGATGGAGGAGGTTAGGATGGACTCAATGATGGAGGAGTAGAACTGCACCATCATCGGTTGATGAGAAATCTAAACCTAAGGTAAGTTGTTTTAATAGGATTTTATTAAGTTCCTATTGATTTAAAATCAGCCTGAGTTCTTTTAAGTTAAAGTTAAAAAACAATTTGTATAGAACTTTGACTGTTTAAGTTAAACTGTTAATTAGCTATTATTAGTTACATTTTTCAGTTTTTTTTACTCATGTTATTACCTCTACCTGCTTTTATTTTCCTCCTTTTATATTGTTTGATTCAAGTAAAGCACTTTGAACTGAATTGTGGTCTACAAATAGGCTTGCCTTGCCTTTTGGTGTGTACTTCCGACACTAATTTTAAAAATGGCGGCGCTCTACCCCAGTAGTATAGAACTTTCAGTTTAAATGACAGATAATGACTTGTTGGCTCTGCAGATGTGCTACCTCTTTTTTTCTTTTGATAAGTTAACATGTGTTTAATTTGTTGTTATTTTTGGCATATTGTTTCATAACCTAATGCTGTTTTTAAACTTCTTAACATCGTTGCTCTCTGATTTGCCTGTCCGTTTCCTTTATGATGATCTTCATGATGTTGTTTGTTTACTGATGTTCTTTAGCAAACCTCTCAGGCCCTCGCAGAAAAGCATATTTTACATCCAGATTTAGCTAAACACAAGTAAACTCTTTATGGTTTGATTGCCGTTCACTTGGATTTTCTGAATTCTGGGTCAGAGATGTAACCTCCAGTTATTTTGCAGCAGTCGCCTGTCAAACTAGTGAACTAGTAGTTCTCATATTTTGAAACTAAACTCCTCATTTGCATCAACAGAGAAGTGGCAGCTCAAACAAGAAGCAGCAAAATGTAGGACATTCTGTGAAAAAACATCAGAAGGCATGAATAACAGAAGCACAGCATGTTTTGGCTGGTCCCTACATCCCCCAGATTTTGTAACAGCCTAAAAAAAAAAAGCCAGAAAGTGCTAGCCATTGCAACTACTCGATTGGAGGGAGGGAAAGATGGGAAAGAAAACACAGTTCAAAGATGTAGACTTGAAGTTCTGATGTCTTATCAAACTCATAACTTTCCTTCCCGTTTTCCTCCCAATGCCAATGCATATTTAATGCCGATACAGTAGCATAGCTGGTCTTCTGAGTTTTTAATTGAGAAATATTTATACACTCTCATGCTGCGACTTAATATTCGACCTAATCTGAGTCTGTTGCCTTGAATGAGAATGATGATCCACAGCTGGGAAACAGAATTAAATACAAACAGAAAACGGGCCTGGTATTTGCATAAAGCTGCATATTTATACAATATCGTTGATGCATATTAATAAAAAGATTAAAATGAGCGTTTTTAATGTATGCTAATCTAAATTATAAATGAGTTGTTTAAACTCCTTGTTTATTCCCCTTGATTAAATATAGACAGCTGTTTTTTTTTCCAGTGAGAGGGCACTTCTGCATAGGCCACACTGCCTTATGAGCATGCAGTGCTCTGATCTTAAATAAATACCAGTACTTTTAAATGCTGATGTTCGTCACATTGAGGCAAAAGTTCACCTGAGGCTTCACAGATCTGGTGCTAAGCAGAATTCTGATATGTACACACTCTCTGATCAACGTGTCCTAAATAGACTCTTACCCACACACCTCGGAGTGTGTGCCTTTAGCTCTCTTTTTTACGTTGGCTTTACTGGTTGGATTATTTATGTCAGACGATTGTTGTATTTTACCTTCAAACCAACCCTCTTTAACACTCCAGAGCTTTTTCTTTCCTTTTCTTTGACTGTTACACCACGTGCATCCTTTCTTATCGTCCTTCATCTCTCACTCTAATGAGTGTCGTCTGTGACATCAGACGACACTGCCAGTTGTTGACAGGAAAGGCCAAAAAAGGAAACATGAACAAATTGAAAAGATAAGCATCCTACACCAGGGAAAAAAAAAAAAAAAAAAAGACACACTGCTGCTATGACCCAACAAGACAGGTTTCTCACACACAGTCAGAGATAAAGAACAAGCTCTATATCTGAAAAACAAAAAAAACAATCGCTGTGGTTCCTCTGGTAAAATAAACTCTGGCAATTAGGTTCATCTTTAAATTTAGCTAGCACTGTTGAAGCCCAACTTAAATGAGTGAATAAAATAACACTGTAAGTAAAAGACGTAAAATATAAAAATAAATATAATGCATTTATATTTAAACAGAAGGTAAGTGCTTCACAAGTTAAAAAAAGGGAGACATTTGAGAAAAGGGGGTCAAACTATATTGAATTTCCTTGCAGCAGACGCGATTATAAACAAGTCCTAAAATACATTTAACAGCATATTAAAAGATGTTTAACAAAATAATTATATATAAAAAAAAAATAAAAAAAATTACAATTTCTGTGATTTTTTTTTGTGTGTGTGTTTTTTTTTCAGGGAACAGGCTAAGCTATGCAAGACATTTTCTTCTTTCTATCTCTTTTCATTCATTTGTCAGGCTAGTTTCTAGTTTGTTTTTTTTACCCACATGCAGAATCATATGGAGAACCTGTGAGTTTTAACATATATTTACAAAAAGCAACTTGAATCTGGATACGGAGAACTACAGGAATTTAGTTGAACTTTCCGGTTGGTCTGAGGGGAGAAAGCAGACTGATCAGGAAGGAGTTGGTTGGTGCAAACTTATTGATTTGATTTCTTCAGCGATGAAGGGGAGGTGGCATGGATCTATAGGGATTTGATTCAGCAGGCTTTGCAAACTGTAACCCAAAGGTCCACGAGAATGTGAGTGAGATCCCTGCAATGAACGACGTGCTGAAGAGCAGGTAGGCAGGTGATGAAGACTGAGAACTGCTGAATACAGGTAATGTCAAGCTCAGAACAAAAGGACCCAGTATTCAAGGTTATCAAAATGTTTATTAAAACCAGAACTACAGTAAACACTGTCAGCCTCTAAGGCAGGAACCTCTGTAAGAGGAGACCACAGGTTAGTGACCACGGCTGCGTTCAAGTTTATGGGCTGCATCTTCCAAAGACGCGGTCTACCTGGAATTAATCCTTCAAAGTCCGTGAAAAAAAGGAGACCAGAAGAGTTTTAGCTGTGAACTCAAACAGGTCTAGCCTTAGCAACCATGACAGTTGACACACAAAGCAGGAAAAGAATGAATAACAGACTTTTCTAAACTGTTTCTTTTTCCGTTTTTTTTTGTTTTTTATTGTAAATTGAACGAAGACTACACTCATGAGAATACAGAGTGGAATAAAGGTGACAACCACCGGGAGCATGAAGAAATAAAAGCAAAT